TTCTGCAACAATTTGCTTATCTGTCTGACATGCCTTCCAAAGGTGAAGGATGTATGGTTGAATTATATCCAAAGGTGCTAATTTGATATGAGTTCAGTTAGCAGTGTTAGTCTAGAACCACATGATGTACATGTAGGTTTCCATTGGTTGGGCATAGTGACAGGGGGGATGCTAGAGTGACAGGGGAAAGAGTAACAAGGGTACAGGGAATGCTAGAACAATGGGGAACATTAGAATGAGGACATCTAAGGTGAGTATGTAGGTATTTAAGCTAAGCATGTACTTTAACTCCAAGTCTGATGTGACAATCATGTTGACTGTTATGATAACATCCAGCTGTTTGGCTCCTATTCATTTTCCCTCTCTTTCACCCTTGCTGGACTCTTTCCTCTTTGGGCAATTGCCCCCTTTCTCTTTCTTAATTGTTCTACTGACCATTCTGTTAGTTGTACCATGTTACTGGCTCATCCAATGACTCACTGACCCTATGTCCTTACTGCCCAACTGATACCTTTTACTTACTATGATATTCTGACTCATCATGACTCACCATGACTCATGTCCCCTTTACCCTTACTGCTCAACTGGTACTTTCTACTTACTTTGGTATCTTGACTTGCTATGACTTGTTCACCCTCTACCCTTACTACTAATATGGCAGACCTGCCCTTATCCCTTCCAACGGTATATATACCTCTTGGGTAGCACTTGTACTCTCTAACTTGAATCTACTTGGTTCATATTGCCTACCCTTTGAGCCCTAAGCAAGCTCTCCTCTTTAGCAAGTACTTTCATTGGAGCTTGTCACTGCCAATGTCTCTAGCCTTGTGAAGAGAACAATTGATGACTTACCATCATAATCATTAATAATCAATCATAGCCCTTGCAGCTAGATCAATTGCTGTGAACTTGTACCTACAAATGCTCACTGGTTGCAGTAGGCTTGGTGTGAGCCCCAATTCAAGTTCTCTGTTACTTACTCACTTTGTTTGCTTGCTACAAACTTAGCTTGATCATAACATTGACTCTAGCCTGCAAATGGTAGTTTTCACTATACTTTTCTTGTTGTTACTTTCCCTAGGTTATGTTCGCATTTTTGCTGCTTATGTAATCATCTTCCCTTTACCTAGGACTCTACAGTCACTACTCAGTTTTCCCTTGTCTCCAGTTCTTGGTTGCTCCCCATTCACTTGGGTTATTTAGTAGCATCCCCTAGTTATAGTTTCCTAGTTATAGCTTCTTTAGCTCACCAGCTAGCTCCTGGAACATAGTTTCTGTCTTTGGCTTGAAGTGTCTCCCTTTCACTCATTTTATCTCTTGAGCTTGAGCCTAGTCCATTGATTCCCTTGAGTCAAACATTCTTGCTTGCAGGTGTAGCAGCTAGGCAGAGCATTTACCATTATACTGGCTGGGTACTTTCACTAAGTGTCCAGTCAGGTTGTATCTTTTACACCAAGTTGGATAGAGTTGGATGGATAACCTGAGGACAGATAAGTTATCCCTATTGAGTCTTTCACTGCCACCCACTGCCCTAATTCCATAGAATATCATTGTCTAAGTTGAATGTATTGTCCAAGAATGTTGTCCAATGCACTCACTATCTTTCCCACTCTAGAGTAAACCCTTCTCCCAACAAAGTTTCTTCAAGTTCATGAAACTTATCTTGTGAGATCTGCTGCTCATCCTGCTAAGCTCATACACTAATCTTTGTTACTTGATTCCCCACTCTAGTAATTCCTTACTATGCTAAAGCTTCTTCAAGTTTGGTGAAGCTCATCTTGTGAAACTTCTACCACTCCTCCTACCAGTACCTTCTGTCAGATGATCATTTTCCCTTTCATGTTGTTTTGCAAGTCCTAATTTTTGGAGCTTGACCTGCTTCTCACAAGCCCCTGTGCACGATAAGCACTCTTCAGGGAACAGTCTCCCATCATGTGTGCCCTGCACTCTCAATGTGACTTTACTGGTGGTCAACATTCCTGGTTTTTCAAAGGATTAGTATGTTCTCTTAACATACTTAGCCATTGAATTTTATTAACTTGTCATATTTAAGCCATGCAGCATCTCTGCATCTGCACTACTGCTATTATTCACAGTCCATTTCACAGTGCCTCTCATTCCCATGGCAGACCCTAACAATGTCATTTGTCAGTTTACTGAAGACACTTTTGCTGCTGAAGATTAGATCTGTGAGCAGCCCTCTTGTCATGCCTAGATCAACAAAGGCCAACCTTATCACTACATGCAAACAATTAAACCTGGAAAAGCAGGGCATCATGTACTATATATAGCCTGCTATGCATGGTATCAGACAGTCTGTGACATCAATGAAGAGACCCACAGGTACAGTGGCTCAAAAAAGTGTCTTGATGTTTGTGACTTCCCATGTAATTGCTGTATTATGAGCCAGGGTGTGAGAACATGACTAAGCCATGTGGAGGTGTGGGAAAGCTCTGCTTCCAAGCTTCATGTTTGATCCCTATAGCATGGGAGGATTATGGCATCAAGTGAAGATATGGTCAATTTAATTTGGTGGCTCATTAAGATACTTTTTTGACTTTCAGTTTGGCCAACACAATCTCTATAATTCTAGTACTTGGTGCTTCCTCCTGTTGCTCTGATTGCTTCCACCACTCTTCTATGCATACTATCTATCAATTTGAGGCATTTCTCATCAACAATCTTGCCCCATTCTGCTGCAACTCTCTCCCACAGCTGAAATAGCCCCTATTATTATCCTCAGCTCTTCTAATCTGTATACCAGGCAGATTGCTACCAAAACTGGTCTGAGCAGGGTTATTATCATTAGGATCATAAAAAAGTTATGCCAGATAAGAAAAATATCAAACTAGATTGTCCTTTCAAGCTTACACCATATAACAAAAAATCTCTTGTTCATAATATTCCAACTAGGCAGGCTGCCAATGCTACTCAAGCTACCAAATTTATTAATTACATCATCTACACTGCTCTCTCCACTCAAATAGTCAAGAATACTCCTAAGGCAGCCAATCTTAAAGCTGTAAACAAGCAGAAAAAGCCTTTCCTGTCTTCAGCCTACAGAAGGAGGAGACCAGCCTTGGCTTTAAAGCCTCAATATTGGATTGTTGAGGACTGGAATAGGGCTACCTGGTCAGATGAGACCAAAAATTAATAGGATGGGGTCAAATGGCTAGGATGAAAGGCAGAAGAACTACTAGAACAAAAAAGTCAAGAAAATACTAAAGTATGTAAAGTAGGAAACTTGATGGTATGGTGTTGTATGAGGTGGAATGGAGTAGGAATTCTCTATGAGGTGGGGGGGAGGATGAATGCAGAGCAGCACATTTCAATTTTGGAAAACTATCTGCTCAGAAGCATGCAAGAATCAAGAATTATTGAATAAGACATTACTTTCTAACAAGACAATGTCCCTAAGCATACTTCAAGTTGACCATAAAATGGTTTGAAAACTATGGTATCAGTGTGCTATTATGGAAATTCCAGTCCTCAGACCTCAATCCTATTGAACAGCCCTGGTAATTACTCAAGATATCACTTGCAGTCTGTCAAGATCTTCAATAGGGGTTATTTCAGCTGTGGGAGAGAGTTGCAGCAGAATGGGGCAAGATTGTTGATGAGAAATGCCTCAAATTGATAGATAGTATGCATAGAAGAGTGGTGGAAGCAATCAGAGCAACAGGAGGAAGCACCAAGTACTAGAATTATAGAGATTGTGTTGGCCAAACTGAAAGTCAAAAAAGTATCTTAATGAGCCACCAAATTAAATTGACCATATCTTCACTTGATGCCATAATCCTCCCATGCTATAGGGATCAAACATGAAGCTTGGAAGCAGAGCTTTCCCACACCTCCACATGGCTTAGTCATGTTCTCACACCCTGGCTCATAATACAGCAATTACATGGGAAGTCACAAACATCAAGACACTTTTTGAGCCACTGTAAGTTGATAATGTACATTTTATCACAATGACACAATCTAACTACTAACTACTAGTAGCAGCATCATATCTGACATCTAGTGCACCTGCACCATCTACTGCAACCAGTAGTTGCCAGCCTAATCCTCAGATGATCCAGCAGTCAGTGAATGCTGCCCAAAGGAAGTGTAAGTCACATCAATCTTTGTATGATAGGACTTGCACTGACATTACCACAAACAGCAAGCATTAATCCTCCTCCTGTTGTGGCAGTTCCTGACTGGATTAATGCCACTATGGGTCCACTGCCAATCCCTCACTACCATGCAATCACTGGCCCTGATGTAGTTTTCCCCACATCTTGGCAGGGGTTAGCAGCAGTGCCAATACCATCAAGGCTTACCAATGCTGTTGGATATTCATTGCACCATGAATCTCATACAGGAGAATGTCTCAGATGGGCTAAAGCTGCCTATGCTAATCCTGGTGTTACACTGGCTATGCTGGCAGCTGAAACTATTTCTCTCAAGATTTCAGCTGTTCATGAGGCAGGGGGACACAAGAAATCAAGAGACATATCAATTGGAGTACAGTCTTTCCTTAGTATGCTCTCTTGAATGTATGTTACATGTATTTATGCCACTGATAGTTACTTAATTGCTTTCAGCAATATATCAACAAAATGGCCAATGAGAGCAACAAAAATTGGAATTTTCCAAAGTTACATATGGACCTACATATCTTTGATGATGTTGAAGCAAAAGGAGTGACACAGAATTATAATACAAAGCCAAACAAGAAGATGCATGGCTCATTAAAGGATTCATACTTACTATGCACAAATTTTTGTGATGTAGCAGAACAGGTGCATTAAATTTAAGAAATGTGTCTACTACTAATAGCATGTGTTCAAATGTGACAGATCCTGCGCATTAATACATGGCAAGTGGTCACAGATTGCATACACCACCAATTATTTGAGTTTGACAAGGCTCAATGTCAAGCAGATGAAGAAGACTTACTAGAGCAAGACCTCATCAATGTCATTGATCACCCTGTCTCAACAAGCAACTTCTTCCATGTGAAGCTTGGATCAAGACAACATTCACAAACCTTTGATGCAATCGAGGAGGCTCATCATGCTGACCAAGCCTTTGGTAATTTCTGTATCAAGCTTAATAACTTTCTTAATCTTCTTTTACCCTCATCAAACATACTGCTGCCTGAAGGCAAACACATTCATCTTCAAGGGACTTATGAAGTATGTATATCTTGGCTCTTTGTTTTTGCTATGTTGACATGTACATGCAGATTACAGAGCACCATTTCATTCATATCAACTATGAATCAATGGTTGATTGGCACCAGCACACAGACTACCTTCATTGCAATCCCCTTTTCTTTGGTTCTCTGCACTTCAACTGTGTCTTTATTCAGCAGACAGAAAACAAGGTCATTCTCAGCAGGCTGTTATTCTGTTTTGAATGCCTGGTTGGGGATCACAGGCTTCCCTTAGCTCTCATCCACCCCTTTGACACTCCCACTGGTTTGCACACTCAAAAGGACAAGGACCTTAACCTTTTCAGAGTTTGAGCAAGACCACAAGCACAAGCCCAGTTCTATTCTGTTAGATCCATCATATGTGGAGCATTTCTTGTTCCAGATGGACCTTCCAACTATCTTGTAGTTGACACTGCAGATACTGATATGTTTCTTCACATGAAGATGATGCACTTGGAGGCAGGCCATATTGTGCACATTTGATCTCATGGTTGAGCATCCACTGCCTAGTGCTGGTGACCCTATTGTTAGTAAGTCTAGGACACTACAATGTATGCAATGCTGACTCTCAACCTACAGCAACCACAAAATGGTTCATGGAATGTCAAGTTGATAACATTCCATGAGCTGAAGAGTTTATTGATGACCTGGGCAATCACACACAAGGGTCAGTGATCAAATGATCAACCACAAAATGGTTCATGGAATGTTATTGGCTTGACATTCCATGAGCTGAAGAGTTTATTGATGGCCTGAGCCATTATACACAAGGGTCAGTGATCAAACAATCAACTGGTTTGTCACTGGCAACCATCATATTATACAAGGGTCAGTGATCAAACAATCAACCAGTTTCTCACTGACAACAATTGTATTATGCAAGGGTCAGTGATCAAACCATCAACCAGTTTCTTGGCCCTCTGGATGAATTGACTCATCCAAGTCATCACATTGTTCAACTCATGCAAAAAACTTTATACCACTCCTCATCCCCCTCGTCACTCCAATGGCATCCACTGCGCAGGTTACTTGCAGACAGATGTCTCATTTTGTCTCTGTGAATGCCCCATCATCTCCATCCACCTCTTCCTGTGAATCCTAATCTGCCACCTGTCCCTTCCCACAGCAACATCTCCATGTAAGACTCATCTCGCACCTCATTTGTATTCCCCACCTCACTTACTCTACAAATTGTCTCTGCAGTACCAGCACCCTTATTTGGACCATCTATGACACAACCTCCTACCACCACCATGCCTACATTCATATCTTCTTTATTGCCCAACTTCTTCACCACACCAGCTCCACCTGCAATATCTACACCTGCAACAACTGCATCTTTGACAGTTCCATAGTCTCACAGCTGCATAGCCACAATTCACTGCTCCCTGGACCACATCCACCTTTTCTGTGCCTGCACCTTACTCTCCTCTTAAGGAGCTGCTAACTCCACACTCAGCATTCACAACTAGTAAGCATGTGACAGCCAAGAGTAAGTTGTGGATGATTCAGAGTGTCAAATCATCTTCTGATCATTTCACTGATCAAGTAGAGAACTCACCAATTCTGAGCATCAGTGCTGCAGCTGTGCAGATGATGTATTCTGTTGAGTCAGAGCCAAAGAAAGAGTGCTGGTGAGGTATTGCAAAGGAGTGGCAGTATGCTCAAAGCCTTGTACTGGACACCAATGACATCTTGTACACTGGTCCAGGGAGCTGCTGAGAGCTGAACAGGATGTGCATTGACACAAAATGTAAGTGACCAACCTGATTATTACATGTATGCTGATTTCATATGTTGTAAGGCCAGGTTATTATGCTTTCATTATCAATATGCAGTCAGAGCATAGACACATTTTGTTCTTGGCACTGATAGATTGCCACAGCTTCGGCTGCAGAATGCATGAGGTATGACACATTATATATCACACTATTGTGCTGATTTTGACTGCTCTCATCTCCCCCAGTTTCTCTAGCATTATGTCTCATCTCTCTAGGACTCAGAGCACATCTGACTCAGATGATTCATGGGACAGAGAACCTAACATTGAACCAGTTGCAATTCCAGGGCCAAGCGCCTCAAAGGGAGACCTCATGGAGGTATGTTTCAGATGGTAGACTATGTTACGTGTCTTACTCTTCTCTCACTCCAGGCACTTAAGGTGCTGCAGGTTCAGGTCCAGAAGCTCATCGAGGACAATTGTACTCTTCATGAGGAAAACAAAGTTCTCATTGCTGAGAAGCCCAAGCACAAATGTCATGCAGAAGCACCTGATGAACTCTTGGCCCATGAGCAAATGATAATGCTTTATGCTCACAAATACAGCATGACTGTTGAGATGTTCCCTAATGCTGAACTTCTCAGCAAGCAATGCCCTGAGAATCTGACTCCCTTTGACAGCTGAGACTGGTACTTGACAGCATTAACTGTCATATGCCATTCCAGACTCTCAACTCCAAATCTGCTTCTCTGGATATCTGGATCTGAGATCCAGATCTCAAATAATCTGATCTATCTTTATCTCCCTTCTGGAATCCAAACCCTATATCAGTGCCCAACCCCATTTAGACTGCCCCTGTCTCCAGACTCTGGTTAACCATGTTTCCCTTTTGATTATTGATCCATTACATACATTTCATTTCCGGTGTTCATTATTTGTGATCTGTCCTACTTACTAATAGACTTTGCATATGCTTCATACATAGCCTTTGTGTTTGCTGACTGATTCCTATATGATACCTACAGTATATAAACCTCCTGTAACTTTTGGAAATACTCCAGTTTGAATATCATCTTAGTTCCTGCTCATTCCTGTGTCCTCTGGACTTGAGATAAGTCTCTTGTCATATTCCAAGTCTTAGGATTGCATCCTAGACTACATTTCCAACTCTACCTTAAGGTAGTCTATCCCCTGATAGTTTCTAGTCCAGACTTCGTCTGGATTAGTCTCATCCGCTTGCCCAGGTAACATCCAGATGTCTGTTGGATTTATCTCATGTTTCAGATCCGGATGTCCATTGTCCGCCCTAGTCAAATCCTGGAAACTCCGGATGACTATTCTAGCCCCCAGAAATTAAGGGCACATACTCGGGAAAGGGGCACAGCATACAAGCTGAGGCCAAGCCCTTGTGATCCAACCCCCTTGAGCACACGACCTTAACATTAACCCAGGAATCAGCATTTCTGGATGAACTATTCCAGCACTTCCCTAGTTGCTTACACAGCATCATGGAAAGTTCGTACTTCAGCAACCTTGTAAGTAATATCATATGTTTTAATATCTATGTTTTAACTAACATTCATCCTGGATGACCAGGTAATGAAGTGCATTTCTGAGGCTCACTCATCAGAGATCAACAAACTGTGTGGCATTATGGGAGAGATCTTTGGCCTTCCAGGAATGTACTTCAACAATATGTTATATCCCATATGCCAGACATAGATCCCATCATATTCCCACGCTTTCCGGACCTATTTCCGGACCCCATATCCAACTCATTCCTGGATCCCCTATTCTGTCCACCCTATGCACATTCTGTCCAGCAAGACATCCAGACTTTACCTCCTCTCAGATTCTGGACTACATCCACCACCTCACACATCTCAGTCCTGTTTCCGCCCTGCCTTCTGGATCCTCAGATCTCCGGACCTCCAGATATTAACTGTACTATCTCTGGACCTATTCCCACCCTCCATCCAAGATCCTGTGCCTATCCCCATTTAGGCATCTCCGCCTTTCTGGTTCTCAGTTATCTCTGTTTCTGTCTTGCTGATTGATCCTTGTACAAGTCTTCATCTCCGAGTTCATTTAGTTATGTTCCATCTTACTTACTAATGTGTTTCCACATGCTCATACATAGCCTTACTCTGTTGCTTACTGATCCCCTCAGATACTCTCCAGTATATAACCCCTGTAGATACTCCTGTAGTTTCCTTAGTCTGAATATCACCTTAGATCTGCCCAATTATCTTCTGGACTTCAGTCTGTCTGAGTCTTGTCCTTTTCCATAAGGCCTAGGGAAGGATTCCCTAGGCTGGAATTCTGGACCTTCAGATTTGTCCCCTATGTCTCTGTCCCAAGTCTAGGGATTGCTTCCCTAGGCTGAAGTCTTGCCTTTCCAGCACTTACCCTCTCTCCAGACTTTGGTCCACTTCCTGTCTCTCCGACTCTACCTAAGGATAGTCTACCTCTGTTTGCTTCTACATCAGACTTCGTCCAATGTAGCCCCTATTCCTTCCGGACCTCCGGACATCCTGTCCTATGCACCTCTGGGCATCCTGTCCTTCAGATGTCCTGTCCTCCTAACCCTTGGACATCCTGTCCTCCATACTTCCAGACCTCTGGACATCCTACCCTTCCATCCTGTTTCTTGTAGAAGTACTACCTTACAGTGGGAACTCTCCTGAGCACTTCCTGCATTCCTCCAGACGTTTCCCGCTGTGACAATCATATTCCTGCTAGGCTTGCAATGGCCATCTTTGATATAAGTGATGGAAAGCTACAAAACCATCGACTGCTTTTCCCACACTCAACCTGCTCCAGATGCGTATTCCTGCACTCTGCAGACCTGCACATTCACTCCCATGCTGCGTGCATAACTGCAGTCGATTTCCCGTGCCTTCAGACTACCTTACAGATGTCCCATGTCAGTCCATTGTCCATCCTACCTCATTGGTATGTATTTTGCCTTGCCTTGTGTGTTGTAACAAGTGTTGCAGCCTTATTACGTGTCTTTACATATTCCTACTGCCTGTCTGTCCTGTCCCTTCCGTTTCCAAGAGGGTTTAGCTAGTATAAAGTGCCTAGGGTGACTACTTCATATTTACTTCCCTTCTACAGTATTTCCTTCCCTTAGGTTTTACTTAGGAGCAGTCACCATTAGTGCACACTTTTAGCCCCTATTGGTTACCTTATACCTGGACACCTTGTCTTGACTTTCCTTACCTGTGCAATCAATACCCTTGCCCTCACTTTTTACCTGTGCCATTCCTTAAGACTTCCCTACCCCTTACCTTAGCATCTCGCACTCCTGCATCAACTGCTCATCGACCGCACTTCCGCATTCCCGCGCTCTACATACCCACACACTTGTTCCTGCACTCTGCGCACTTTCGGGTCTTTAGTATCATCAGCCGTTCTCAGTAGCAATTCCCTTTAGGGTCAAACATTCTTGCTTGCAAGTGTAGCAGCTAGGTAGAGCATCGACCTACAACAATATTTTTGGTTAGGCACATTAACAAGTGTCTAGCCATTGTTGTGTTTGCACACCATGCTCCTCTGCCTCCAGAAGTCCTCTAGCACTCTCCACCAGAGTAGCCAGCCTCTGGAAGTCCTCCAGACTTTGTCAGACCATCATTGGACTTCCTCTGAAATGAAGGGCACATACTTGGGTAAGGGGCACAGTGTATGAGCTGAGGCCAAGCCCCTCTGAGTCAGTCTCTCTCTCCTTTGAGCATGGTTCTTAACACAATACCAACTACCACAGAGCTGATGTCACTGAAATATGGAACATGCTTGGAGTGTCTGGAACCAACCCAAAGTACAAGACTTTCCCACTAGTCCTCTTTCTTGGAATGCAGGAAGACTCATCCTTAAAGACCATGTTTGGAAACTGGGAGCTTCTAGCTAAGGTATGTGTTCTGCTGATGAGCATCTTCTTACTGACATGTATCCCTGAATAGACTCTGAAGGTTGCACTACATGGTGTTACTTCACTTCACCAAGAGACAATGGTGGTCTGAAGACAAACACCCAGAAATGGAACTTCAAACATGTCACACCAGGATGTATCACATGGGCCACTGTCATTGTGAGTCATCATCTACGCTACGTTCAATCATGTTGCTCAGTCAATATCACAGTCAAATTTTCTGCTGTTGCCTGACACAGAATTTCAGAAGTCTGGCTTAGGAAAGTCATCCAGTATCAACTACAAGGATCTATTCTTCCACTATAAGAAGCTCTTACTCACAAAGTGTTATGAACTCAGATAGAGCGTCATTCCAATAAAGGAATCAAGGATCAAGGTTGATCAAGGACTAAGCTTTATTGAGTCAACACCTCCCTCAGGAACAATCATCTAGACTCTTACAGGATCTAGAGTTCAAATGGGACAATGGCTAGCCTCCTTCCCAAGGAGCTAGAGTTCAAGTATCAAAGAGAACCAAGTAGATTCAAGTTAAAGAAAATACAAGCAGTAACTAAGGCTTTATATACATAAGAGAATTGTGCACAGACCAGGCTGGGCAAAGGGTAATGACTACTAAGAAAGGAAGGTTTATGGGAAAACAAAGTATGAGTCAAAGATAATGGAGACCATGAGGAAATAGCACAGTGAAAAGGAAGCATTAGAAGTACAGCCATTAGGTGTCCATAGTGATGATGGGAAAAAGAGTGGGGCACTGTAACACAAAGTGGGATAGCCATTGCATTCAAATCATTGTGCAAAACATCAACCAAGATATTTTCAGCTCCACAAAATCTTCTGCTTCTGCAGTTGGTCAGGAAGATCACTCCAGCAAAATAATTCATGCCATGAATGCACTCGATATGGATACTGACAGCAAGTCAGATGATGCTCCATCTTCTACAGTGCAGGGTGTTGCAGCTTCTCAGTCTGACATCATTGAGGTGCCACAGCCCACTGAATGCCACACACCCACTCTCAGCGCTGTCTCATCCATCAGTACTCACTTCACTCTCACTGCTGCCTCTGTAGGGCACACTGAAGTACCTATTCAGGGTGCCACAACAGGCCCAGCAGTGACTGCTACAGTCATAGTGCAGGAAACAGATATCAGACAGCAACCAGCTTGAGGTAGATGAAAGACTAGGGCAAAGAAACCTGCAGGTGAAGCTGTTCATCATGGCACTCATGCTTGTTAGGGATAGATTTTCAATTTCATTTTGTACTTGTCCTTACAACATGTAGATGTGTCATATGCCATTTCAGACCCTCAACTCTAAATCTGCTTCTCTGGACATCCAGATCCAAGATCCAGATCTCCAATGATCTGATCTATCTTTATCTTCCTTCCAGAATCCAAACTCTATTCAGCGCCCAACCCCATTTAGACTTCCCCTGTCTCCAGACTCCAGTTAACTATGTTTCCCTTCTGATTATTGATCTGTTACATACATTTCATTTCCAATATGCATTATTGGTGATCCGTCCTACTTACTAATAGACTTTGCATATGCTTCGTACATAGCCTTTGTGTTTGCTGACTGATTCCTATATGATACCTACAGTATATGAACCTCCTGTAACTCTTGGAAATACTTTAGTTCGAATATCATCTTAGTTCCTGCTCATTCCTGTGTCCTCCGGACTTGAGCCAAGTCTCTTGTCACATTCCAAGTCTTAGGATTGCATCCTAGACTACATCTCTGGCTCTACCTTAAGGTAGTCTACCCCCTGTTAGTTTCTAATCCAGAATCTGTCTGGATTAGCCTTATCCACTTGCCCAAGTAACATCCAGACGTCTGCTGGATTTATCTCATGTTTCAGATCTGGACATCCATTGTCCACCCTAGTCAAAACCTGGAAACTCCGGATGACTATTCTAGCCCCTGGAAATTAAGGGCACATACTCAGGAAAGGGGCACAGCATACAAGCTGAGGCCAAGCCCTTGTGATCCAACCCCCTTGAGCATGCAACCCTAACAAGATGTTGCCATAGTTCAAACTTGTGCCCTCAAAAGTGTTGTGGCCTTAGCTTATTAGACACTTAGACTATTACCTTATAGGTATTAACAGTAAAGTAAACCATTATATACAGTAAAGTTTCTATGTATATAATGGCCGTTTAGTCTAACAGTTTTACTACAGTAAATTCCAACCATCATGTGACCTTAAGCTTAAGCTAATAAACACTACAGATAGTCAAGCATTCGAAACCTACCAAGTACAAACTTAATTGACAAGTGAGTAACACAAACCTAATACAATATAACAGTTAACTAACTAATAAGCATAACAGGACTGAAAGCATAAGAAAACTGACAAGTAATAATACGCATACAAATGTAATATGATAACACTAATAATAAGTACAATAGGAACCAAAAGGTAAGATAACACCAGGAAATGATAAGATAAAGTACTATGGTAACAGAAGATGATAGAAAGGGGCTTGCAAGAGGATGGGCATCATTGCAACCAGTTGCAATGCTCACTGTGACTCAGGGTACAAACAACTCATTACAATGACCATTGCAATGGGCATTGCAACCGTGATTGCAACGGCCGTTACAAGACCGACTCTATTATTGGAAGCCATTTCAATCGGAGGTTTGAATTTAAACCTTTCAATGCTGTGTAATGCATTGAAAGCTAAATTAGGAATTTCCGACATGGGGGTTTGGGGCTTATATAAGTGTCACATTGTGCTCAGGCCGGGCGTTGCCCAATGCCCATAGCACGACACGTCTCAACCGGCCGTACTATACAGACCTTGGGCGCGGTGAATATTTGCATTTCCAGTAGTAGCGATCTGAGCTGATCTTAATTCGTTCTAGGTGCTCGAAATATTGTCGTTGATCAGTGACGCGAGGGAGCATGCGCCGTCTTACTTTAGGGACGTCGGTTTTCATGTTCTATGGAATCCAAACCAAATGCAAACTGTCTTATCAGGTCTGAATTACATCTCCGCAAGTCTGGGATACCCTGGAGTTCTGCCAGGTCCTGCCAGTTCTGCTGTGGAACAGGCACAACCAGTTTTACCACTAGTCCGGTTTGCAAAACTGCCGAGTTTTGCTAACAACATTAGAAAAATGATGGTAGCGGTCTTTGCCACGTAAGCTGGCCCTACGGCTCATATCCGACTGACACATTATAGATAACAGCCTTCGATGCTGGAGATCTCCCGCTTCTGCCTCAGAAATGTCAAATCTCAGACCCATAATCACGATTTGTGGGACCACGGGCGTCGGAAAGTCCAAGCTGTCCATCGAGCTGGCTCTCAAGATTGCTCAAGGAATACACGGATGGAGAGGCGCGAGGATCATCAACGCCGACTCCATGCAAGTATACACTGGGATGGACGTGATCACGAACAAAGTCCCAGTCGCGGAAAGAATGGGAGTCGAGCACCTTCTCATGGACTTCAAGCAGCCTGGGGAGCAGTACGTTGTGGGCCAGTGGGTCCAAGACGCTATCAAGGCGGTAAATTATCTGCTTATCTTCCCCGTCACTTCGGTCTCAACTTGATCGCAGATCGACGAGACGCACCGGATGGACATGATACCGATTATTGTCGGCGGTACATCTTATTGGATCCAACATCTCATGTTTCCGAATCGGCTGCCCACTCCAGGGCAAACGTTATCGGATTCCGTCACGCAGTCCATTGCCAACTTACCTCCCGAACTCCTCGAGCTATTCAATGCGCTTCCAGAGCATCCTCCATCCGCAGCGTCTCACCCTCAGGATGCGATGTTGCTGCACAGACTTCTCACTGCGCTCGACGAACCAGTCGCTCAGCGATGGCATTGGAGAGATACGCGCAAAGTGATGGGAAGCCTTCGTGTGATCAAAGACACCGGGATGGCCCCGAGCGAAATTATCATCGAGCAGTCTAAAACGGCGTTGATTCCGAGGTTTGAATTCTCCTATCAGCGGCGTGGCATTTTCACCGAACTAGCATCAGGTATCGAACCCTGTGTTTCTGGCTCTATGCCGAGCCTTCCATCTTGAATGAGCGCTTGGATGCAAGGGTAGACGACATGATCAAGGTCAGGAAGGTCTTGATCGATCGATCGCTTACTGACAGGCTCGTTCAGGAAGGGCTGTTGAATGAAATCAAAGAACTCCGAGCGATCGCTTCCTCCCCCGCATGCAGTTCGCCTGACGGAGTCGTCGCAGGGCCGTCCGACGAATCAGCCGTGCAGCAGACTGATTATACTATCGGCATCTATCAGTCTATCGGTGAATTTCGTCCGGTTTTTTTCTACGACACCTACTTACAAGACTTAGGATATAAAGAGTTTCATGACTATCTCGCTTCTGCAGAGCCCTCCGAGAAGGTTTTTGCGTCCGCTGTGGAGCAAATGAAGTACGGGACGAGGCAATATTCGAAGCGTCAGATACGGTGGTTGAAGAACAAGCTTCTTCCTGCTATCTATAGCGCGAATGGAGGTGGCGATCATGCGGCTGCCCTCCTCCCGGTTTACCTTTTAGACGCCACTGGTGAGTTTACTATTTTTGCACATCAAATTTCAGGCGGCATGATTTATCCCCGGAAGAACTCGGCGACCAGTGGACATCTCGTGTTCTCAACCAAGGCGAACGTATCGTTGAAGGTACGTGCTCTCTGTCCACCTCGTGCCCGCACTGATGGATCCTGACAGCTTTCCTTGGCAATGAGACATTGGTCGATCCCCTATTACTGTCCGAAAGGGCGCGGGAGATGCTGACGATCGACGTCAAACCTACGAGGTACGTCCATCGCATTCTGGGATCCTTGATATTTTAGCCAACAGCTGGGTAGTCCCACAGAAATATTGCGGGCGCGGAAGAAGGTGGTGTGCCCTGCGTGTACGCTTGATCCGTCGCAGCCCTTCATGGTCGAAGATGGCTCTCAGTGGGAAGCCCATCGACGGTCCCGCACTCATAGACGACACGCTTCGAGAGATAAGAAAATGCATGGACAGCCGGTCAACCGACGGGTTATGGTCCATAGCGACATTCCCAGCAAGGTCGACGCTGAAGATCAGCATCGTTCTATCGTATAGACGAGGTCTACTTTGTTGCGCGTGGTTCGTGATTCCTTCTGGGATCCATTTACCGATCAGCGTCATCGTTTTGAATATCGCTTTCGGGAGCACCTTTCATTTCAAGCAGTTATGCTCTCAGTAGTTCCTGTTTGCTTATTTATCCCACACAATGACCTTGCGAGGAGGCGGGCTAATTTTCCTCCTGCGCCGGGGTCACTATCGATGGGTTCTTCCAGAACGATTTACATCACCTATATGATCACTATTGCTACGAAGCCAGCGGAGCAGCCTCTCAGTCTTGTCTTCCTGAAACATCTCTACATTTTGTAAAACGAACTGCTCGAATTTGCATGCGACCCGCACATATACCCTTGACGGGTTGCTGTGTGATCTGTTTACCCATCCACCCATGGCAAAATCAGGGCCCACTTGGAGGGTATGGGTGCAGGACCTGCGACCCTGCAACACCCAGGGGTTTACCCCTGCAGTTACCTGATTTAATTATTGGACAAAATCACAGCCAAATAAGTTTGGATTCTTGAATGGCAGCCGGATTCCTACGGGTGCATTTGCTGCAGACGCTGAGACAGAACTTCCCCACTTATCATGGGAGTCAGGAAAAGTAAAAACGATGTTAGGTATGGAAGCCCGGACACTCGTGCTCAATTACTCAGCTAGAATTGCTGCTTATGGTAACCGGACCTCGAGCACCATGCTTGCATATTTGTATATGTTGACTAGTGACATACCTATCTGTTACCTTGCTTGTTGACATTCTTTGACCAACCATTTCTGAGTTCACATTGATCAATCTGTTGAACACCATATCAAAAAAATCATCCTACATAATAACACAGCTAAATGTAGCATGTCCAAAAAACATGATCCCAAGCCAAACATAGCACAATCTAAGCTACTTCTGCCCCAAGTGTCTCAAGTCCAAATCCTGGCCATTTGCAGAACATGTTGCAAACATGGTGTTTCTCAAATTCACTGACTGTTATGCTCGGCATTCATAAGAATGACTAGATGGAAACAAATGATCTAAAGCATGAACCTATTCACAAGTCGTGTGAGTTAGGCAGTATATTGCAGGCCCTGGTCTGTGTAGGTCAAGTTAAAGGGTACAAGTGTAAGAGATAGAGTATATATAAAGGTATTAGAGTGAAGCTTTAATAAATGAATTGGAGATTGAAGGTAAATAGCAAATCAGAAAATAGAAATGGAATTGTACAATGGAATATAATAGAATGTCTAAGAAGTGTTAGTGAAATAGGTGAAGAGGTGAAAGGAAAAGAGAAACTGTAACATTACCCCTGTTGTAAGGGTAGTAGGCACCAACTACTATCAAAGAAGATGATGTGATTGTTTATAAGAAAAGAGTTTTGGAAGCATTACCTAGTCCTGCTTCTTTCATCCATTCATTCTCGGAACTTGGGAATCCTTTCCATTTAACATAATATTGGCATCTAGAAGAAGAGCCTCGGTGTCCAATGATGGCTTCTATTTTGTATTCTTCTTTGCCATTAATGAGATCAGGTGTGGGTGTAATATGATTAGGGCCGTGGATATTGTTCTCTTTATAAGGAGAAAGGAGTGTGGCATGGAAGATGGGGTGGATGCGCCATTATGCAGGTAGGGCAAGTTGATAAGTTATAGGGGATAATATGTCAATGATGGTGAATGGTCCTTCTCGTTTTGGAGTGAGTTTCCAATTAGGGTATCTGAGGTGTAAATTCTTGGCTTCGAGCCAGACTTTGTCACCTTTAGAGAATGGTATGAATTTAGACGTAATTCATTGACACATGGTATTGTGTGTGAGTTCGTGAGCAGCTAGTGCTTCATCATGTGCTTTTTTAAGAATAGTGAGACATTGTTCTATGTTAGGGATATCGGATTTTGGATGAAGGTCAGGGAGATGACATGGGTGATAACCCATCATGAGGTAGAAGGGGGATGTGCCACGAGCAGAATGATGTCATGAGTTATGGACAAACTTGGCAAGTGGTAATGTCATATCTGCATATCTGGATCTCAGATCTGACCCTTATCTCATCTCAGATCCACATCTTATCTCCCTCCAACATCTCATCATTCAATCTGTCCACTCATCTGGTCTGGTCCACAACTCATCCAAATCCACAACCAGTGCTTGTCTCCTTTCGGTAACCCCCTAACTCTGGTATTTCGGTTATCTGTATATCCGTCCTGCTCCCTGATCCGTTACCTATGTTTCATTTCTGTTTCATGATTTGTGATCTGTGTCTACTTACCAATAGACTACCCATATGCTTCATACATAGCCTTGGACTCTGCTGATTGATCATTCCATTAGATACCTATAGTATATAACCTCCTGTAACTCTCTGTAGCACCTCAGTTTGAATATCATCTTAGTTCTACTCATTCCCATCCTCTGGACTTGAGTATCTCTACTCTTGTCACTCTCTGAGACTTAGGATTGATTCCTATAGTCTATCCGTATCTGCCTCTGTTTCTGACAGTCTATTACCATTAGTTTCTAGTCTGGACTTGTCCGGATTAGCCCTATGATACCTATCCCGCATCTGGGAGTTATCTGGATCCACTATGATACTCGTCCGACCTTCCAGATGCATTAGTCTTGCCTTCCTGAAATAAGGGGCAATACTTGGGTAAGGGGCACAGCACACGAGCTGAGGCCGAAGCCCTTCAGATCCAGTTATCCTTTGAGTACAACCTTAACAGTATATTCAAACTCACACCTTACCAAGTATACTTACACTTCCTATGGCTCCAACCAAAACTGCAAACACTCTCCAAGCAGCTGGATTAGTATCCACCCGCCATGATTCCACTCCTATTGTTGAAACCTTCAATAGCTTCTCGCAGTGTTGTGTTAGCCAGCACGCTACTGCCAGAAGCATCTCAGAGCTTCTGAGTTGTCAACATCTGGAGACCCCTACATGGACTCCAGCCCTAGCCCCTCTGGGCCAAAGAGATCCAGATGATGATGACATTGATCATGATACCCCTGGCGGAAACCTGCCAGATGGTAACGGTGGAAATCTCAATGATGATCCTGATGATGAAGACGATGATGATAGAGACGATGGCCTGGGTCCACAGGATTGTGTTATGGTACTCCTATCCAGAGCTATCAACAATCTCACCTGAAACAATTGTCGCACCACCCTTCCTGAAGATCCTAAAGTCAAGGTCCGGGAGCTGGATGTCTTTGATGTCACCGAGCCCCAGAAACTTCGTGCATTCTTTGTCCAGTGTGAGCTCAACTTCCAGAGCAAACCCAATGCTTTCTGTACTGGAAGGTCTAGAGTCAATTTTGCCCAATCCTATCTCAAAGGAATGGCCCTTGAATGGTTCGAACCTGACCTCCTTTCTGACAAACAAACTGATCGTCTGGACTGGATGGATGACTATTCCGAGTTCATGCTTGAACTCCAGACCAATTTTGGACCTTATGACCCCTCTGGAGATGCGGAAATGCAGCTCAAGCAACTCAATATGCGTGATGGACAGCACATCAACAAGTACATTGTAGAATTCCAATGACCTGCCTCTCAGGTCCATGGATGGGGTGATGGAGCCCTATGCTGACAATTCTATAATGGACTTCCTGCTCATATCAAGGATGAAATCAGTCGCATGGGAAAACCTGGCACACTCTCAGAATACAAAACCCTTGTGCAGACCATTGATGCCTGCTATTGGAAACACAAGGGAGAGATCTCCCATGAAACCAAATCCTCCACACCCAGTCCTCCTGCCAAGTCTTCCGAACGGAACAACACCAACACGTCCAGATCTGGAAGCACTTCCTCTGGAAACAACAAATCTGGAAAGACATCTTCGTCCACTACCTCCACTTCTAAAGCTCTGGACCTCAGCAACAAGTTGGGTAAGGATGGAAAGCTTACATCCAAGGAGCATCAGAGAAGGCTGGACAGGAAGCTCTGTCTGTTCTGTGGTGGACCTGGGCATACTGCTTGGGACTGCACAAAGTTGACTTTGCGTGCTACCAAAGGTTGCATGGCTACAGTCGATCCAGAAACCAAACTGGATGCCTCGGATGAGGCAAAAAAATAATCCATGACCCTCCTGACTCTGCATGGGATGAGGGTCGCATTGACTCAACCTGTGCAATGGAGCTACAACTTGATGCTGTTTCCTTGTCCAATCTGAACTCTCTCTGTCCATATGTTTCCATCCCTACATATTCTGATATTTCTGACTTTCCAGCTCTTGTAGATTGTGGTTCCTCCCATTGCTTCATAGAATCTGACTTCATCCGTAAATATAGTCTACCTACCTATGCAATTCCTCTGATTCCACTCTGTTTGTTTGATGGTACTTGTAATGCAACCATTTCCGAAGCTATAGATCTGCCCATCCATTTCTTGTCCAGTGTAGTCACCTCCAATATGTTCTATGTAACTCCTTTGGATTCATCCTGTCTTATCGTCCTTGGATATACATATGTGGGGAAGCTGACGCAGTTCATTTGGTGATGCGGGCAGATCTACACCTGATGGGGTACCGACGTGTAATGGGTGTGATGGGGGTAGGAGATGGAGAAGCTGGTACGTCAAGTACAGCAATAGGAGGGATATTGTCATCCGAATGCTCAGCAGTAGCTGTCGGAAGAACTGGCAGTGGGACTGGAACAGCAATATGTGGGAATGGGGGTTGTGCGATTGGGTTTGTAGCGATACATTCAGTGACGATGTGGATAGCCTCTCTGATAGCTTCCTTAGTATCATCAGGCAACAGGCGGATTGCAGTATTATGAATGCATATATGAAGGTGGTGGAAGATGGTCTTGTGATGGTCATTGTCAAGGAGATTAGTGGTGCATTCGATAAGGCTAGCGTCTCTGATGATTTGGATAATAAGTCTGCTAGAGATTGCTCCTCTTTCTCCTAAGAGATGATCTATCTCAATGGTGTACTGTTGGGACATGATGGTGGATTCAAATAGTGCACTAGTCTTGATCTGATCAATGATCGTGAAGTAATTGG